ACCATCATACTGCCTCAACCTTCAGAGCCTTTGGGATTATAGGTGTGCACCACTACACCTGGCCCTACTATTTTTTGTTGATGCTGTTAATTTGAAAATACTTAAAAAATGTTATACTGATATTAAAACAGAAAAACCCTAGATTATTCCTGATACTCCCTGTAAATCTAGTTCTTTTCCCTTGATTTGAAGTGAACCCAGTGATTTGCTTCTAACCAATAGAATATGGCAAAGGTAATAAGATGTTACTGCCTTGTTCACTTACAAAAGTTTAGTTAGATAGGAAGAAAAAAATTCAAGAGTTTTATTGTACAATATGTTGGCTATAGTGAATAACAATCTATCAATTGTTAAAAGCATAGACTTTAAATGTTCTTACAAAAAAAATGTTAAGAGTAGAATATAAATATATTTTCAGAAAAAACAATCAGCCTTTGGTTCTTTGGGATTGGCTTATTTCACTTAGCATGATATTCTCCAACTCTATCGGTTTACCTGCAAATGCCATAATTTCCTTTTTATTTAAGGCTGAGTAATATTCCATTGTGGATGTATACATATTTTATTTATTCATTCATCAATTGAAGGACATTTCGTTTGGTTCCACAGGTTAGCTATTGTGACTTGAGCTGCTATAAACAGTGATGTGGTTGCATCACTGTAGTATGTGGATTTTAAGTCCTACAGGTATAAACTGAGGAGTGGATAGCTGGGTCAAATGGTGGTTCCATTTCAAGTTTTCTAAGGAATCTCCATCTGTGTTCCATAATGGCTGCACCAATTTTCAGTTCCATCAGCAAATAATGAGTGTATCTTTTGGTCCACATCCTTGCCAACATTTATTGTTGCTTATATTCTTGATAATTGACATTTAACTGGAGAAACATCAAATCTGAGGGTAGTTTTGATTTGCATTTCTCTAATTGCTAGAGATGTTGGAAATTTTTTTTCATGTATTTGTTCATCAATTGTAATTTTTCTGAAGTGAAGTGTCTGCTCAGTTTCTTAGCCCATTTGTTGATTGGGTTATTTGGGTTTTTCATGTGAGGGGGGCTACGGAAGAATAGAGTTACTTTGAATTAGGCAGAGGGGAGTAAAGGGAGGGGAGAAGGCATGGGGGTAGGAAAGATAATATAACGAATCAGACACTATTACCCTATGTGCATGTATGACTACATGACCAGTGTGGTTCTATATCATATACAACCAGAAGAATGAGAAATTATACTTATAAGGCCTTTACTTAGCATCTGGATGGCCATCTTAAGTGACAGCTGCCATTTTAAGGAAAAAGTTTCACTTTCACACCCAAAGGTGTTTCTGAGAAAGGCTCTCCACTCCCTCATACCAACCCAACCCTTAACCACTGCATTAAGACCCACCTGTCTTTGATTCCTGAGCCTTCCCCACAAAAGTCCCAGAACTCAAGCCTGTTTTGCCTCTCTCTCCTATAGAGAGATGGCCTTTATCTGTCATCTCTGGCATATGAACTCTCGTGTGTATCTCTGCCTGGTCTCTGTCTTTCATTTCTCACTTACCAGTCTCTCATTCCTCACTTTCCCTTCAATATTCCATTTATGTATGATGTGTCAAAGTGCATTCTACTCTCATGTATAACTAATTAGAACAGATTTTTTTAAAAAAAAAGTAAAAAAAGAGAGGCTATTACAAAAATTTCACTTTAATTAAAACAAAAAAACAAAAGAATAAAAAATACTGTATGGTGACTGATATAGTGAGCTAGTTATAATCATTTTTTAATTTTTAATTTCCACTCCAAGTTAATTACAGGTCACTGGTAATTTATATCAAAAATATTTTTGTCCAAAAGCACAGCATTGCCACAGCAGTAAGAAATTAAAATTTTAAATAAAATATGTGTATATTTTCATCTTACATATGGTAAGATGAACTTGAAGAAAGTGAAAAAGAATGCCTTCCTTATAAAAGACTAAATAAATATCCATTGGAAAAATAGTAAGACTGCCTATCTCACTCCTTAAGTGAAATTAAACATATGAATAAAAACGTAAAAATGTAATGAGAAAAGTTAAAAACTAAAGGCTCTAGAGGAAAGGATAAAGGTAAAAGAATATCTTCATGTTATTGCTTTAGGCAAGGATGTTAAAAAGTATTTAAAAATCTAATACAGAAGGGAAAAGAAATGAATTAGATTTAATTAAAAGTAAGCTCTGTGTTTCAGAAGACAGAAAAAATATTAGAAAAATACAAGCCAGAAAATAAGAGATCATATTTGCAAAATATATTTTAAAAGACTGATATCAAGATGTAAATAGGACTAACCAACTAAAATTAAAAAAAAAAAAAAACTCAAGACTAACTACTTGAGTTTTACCCCCTGAAGTAGGTACTCCATGAAGGAAATAAACAGTGAGTAACATATGAAAAGTTATTGAACTTTACTGATCATTACAAAAATGTTCATTAAAAATTTGGGATAGTTTATGCAGTCATTTACCAGGATGACTAAAATGAAAGAGGCAGATGCACAGTGCTGAATATGTTGTGGATCAATTGACACTCTTATCCATTGCCATAGAAACATAATTTTACAACCACTTCTAAAGGTTATTTGGCTGTACCTTCTGAGGCTAAACTAATTCATATTTTATAGTCATCAATTCTATTTCTACCTATATTCTGAACAGAAATGCATCTAACCATTCATCAACAGACATAGGGTTGATCGTCATGTTAGCACTATTCATTATAATCCCCAATTGGAAGCATACATTAATTCATAGTTGAATGAATAGATAATTTCAAGCTTTCATAAATTGGAATGTCCATATAGTGGTGAAGACAGAACTATGAAGATAATTGAAAGCATATGACTCTTAGAAATATAATGTTAAATAAACGAAGCCTGATATAATATACATACTGTTATCCTTCCATTTATTCAACTTAAAAAAGAAAAACAGGCAGAGCTAATCTCTGATATTGAATCCAGATGGCAGATTACACATTGGTGAAGCAGTAACCAAAAGGGAGAAGACAAGCTATTGCTCTAGTACCTTCGAACTTCCTGTATTTATACCGTTTTGGGGTGACAAATTACAACAACTTTTATTTACTTTATGTAGAAACTTAAGCTGTATACATGCAATTTTGAATATTTTATAGGAAACATACTTTGATAAAATTTTTATAAAAATATTCCCTTTGCCAAATCTTTATGATGATATCTCTGTCCTCATGCTGTGCTTCTTCTTGGGCTGGTATTTTGTCTCAGAAAAGTATTATCTCCACTTTCAATGTCTTGTAGTAATAACAGTATGTGGATAACAGTTTCACTAAACAATACTCATTCAGGCTCTGGTGGAATCCCTTTCAACAACTTCAGGTGGAGAACAGATCAATATCTCACCTTCTGTCATACTTACAATATCTAAGTAGAGTGACTCCTTGGGCCAGTTATTAATGTCTTTAACTAAGAGGTTTTACTAGAACTTTAGTAAGATGTATTTATAACACAATAAACTATATATATTTAAATTGTAGAATTTGATGACTAGGTTTAAACATATGTATACACTCACAAAATTAGAAGCACAATCAACATAATGAATATTTGATCTTTGACAAAGTTCCTCAGTGATTCTTTGTAGTGCTCCCTCTTTGTACTCTTTCCATGGACAACCACTGACCTTTCTGACCTTAGAGGTTAGTTTGCCTTTTTAAAAATTTTATGTAAATGAAATACATTTATTCTGGCATCTTTTATATATTATAATACTCATAAAATTTATTTTTGTGTGTAAATTAATAGTTCATTTTGTTTCTGAATACCATGTCATTGTGTGGATATAACCCAATTTGATAAAGCATTCTCCTGTTAATAAATCTTTCACCTTATAATAAATATTCAGTTTGAGCTATTACACACAAAGTTTCTATGAATATCCCCATATGAATCTTAGTACAAGCAAGTTTCTATTTTATTCTTTATTGCATATGTAAATACCTAGTTGAATAAAAAAAATTAACTGTCTTCCAAAGTTCTTCAATTGTGTATTGCCCTTGGCACTTGCTCTATATCTTTTCTAATAATTGCTAGAACTAGTTTTTCAGTTTAGCCATTTTAATTCGTGCATACTTATAACTCATTATGATTTCAATTTGCATTTTCCAAGTGAACAACTTCTCAAGGACTAATGGACAATTTGTATATATTTTTATTCAAATTTTTATTTTAGTCTTTCAAATTGGAGTGTTAGTCTTTTAGTATTGACTTATAAAATTTCTTTGTATGATAATGGCACATATCCATTTTCTGATATGTGTTACAAGTGTATTCTCCCAGTTTGGGGCTTACACTTCTCATGTTATTAGTAGCATACTTTGAAAAACAATTTTTTAAAAATGTTTTTTAAAAAGCCTATAGTCAAAATATTGGTTCATTGAAGGTCATCTGATCAGTAGAGTTCTAAGCCCTTTCACAATGGGCCTAGTGGATCTCTAAAACCAATCTGTCATTATTCTGCCAGTTCCAAAATGTGTAGCTGGACTAAACATACTTGGAAACTGGCAGAATTCCTTTCTACTTGAGAGAGGACTCCAAGTTTTGTTCTGTTTAGGCATTCACCTTATTGAATGAGTCCCAGCCACATCATGGAGGGTATAGTTTTGGTTATGCACCCAGTACAGTTTAAGACTCCAGTAAACTTGTGTCTTGGTTTGGCTGACTTGAACCACAGTAATATTTTATCCCTGAAACGTAATTTTAATATTCATTATAGAAATAGATGATACTTACTTTTGTAATAATAAGATTCTAATTTATCTAGGAACAAATATTTGCTAGGTAAATTTATTTCCAATTTGATACTGCACATAAGCAAGGAAACATTTTGTGTTTAGTGTCAAATTCTGTAAAACATTTACTCTATTGAAGCTTGATGACACATATATTTCCCCTCTCAGAAGAATGCAAAGGGATAAAATTTGAGGACTATCTCCAAATTAAGTATGCACAGTCAAACCTCCTTACAAAAAATTATCACCACCCGATCTCGGATCTGCTTGGTTCTTATCCCATAAATAAGGGGGTTTAGAGCAGGGGGGATAATCACATATAAGTTAGCAAGGAGGATGTGGATATAACGTGGAATATTGTGGCCAAATCGATGGGTCAGAAAGGAGAAAAAGGCTGGGATGAAGAATGCTAAGATGACGCACACATGGGAACCACAGGTATTGAGAGCTTTACGCCTGGCCTCCCAGGATGGGAGTTTAAAGACAGCATGGAGAATCTTCACATAGGAGACAGCAATCAAAATAACATCCAAAAGGATCATAGAGATAAGAATTAATCCAAATAATATGTTGACCTTGATGCTGACACAGGCCAGACGGGCAATGCCCATGTGCTCACAGTAGGTATGGGGTATGACATGGTGGCCACAGAATGACAGCCTTAGAAGGAGAAATACAAGTGGAAAAACCAAAACAAAATTTTTCAACATTCCTACCCCAACAATAAAACAAATTGTTCTGTTGGTGAGAATTGTGTTGTATCGGAGAGGGTGGCAAATAGCAACGTAGCGATCGAAGGCCATGGCCACAAGCATGAACGTTTCTATGCCTGTGAACAGGTGTATGAAGAACATTTGAGCTAAGCAGTCCCTGAAAGCAATTTCACTGAAACCAAACCAGAATATGCCTAGCACTTTGGGGATAGTTGCTGTGGACAGGCCCAAATCAGTCAGAGCCAAAATGGCCAATAAGTAGAACATGGGCTGATGAAGGCTGTGCTCAATCTGGATCACCAAAAGAATGGTGGCATTCCCCAGGAGAGCAATCAGATACACTGTGCTGAATTGTCGCGACCCCTCGCCAGCAAGGGAAAACACGGCACAGGATTCTTCTTTCAGCAGTTTATTCAGGCCTTGATTCAAGTATCATCTTCTAGCGACCTCCCGCCGAGCGCCCAAGCACAGCCTAATAAAGCCTCCCGCATACCAATCCCAAGCTGCCACGTGGATCTCTCTCATAGGGTGGTAAGAGATTGCGCGCCAATTCTCCATAAAAGGAGTTGTTTATCCCAGGCCACAGTGGAAGCCGGCGCCATCTTCTAATGGCGGCCACGGTCTATAGGAACGGCTCACCACACTGAATGGGAAGCCAAGCCAGAGCTGCATATTTTCCAGTCCTGGGATTCCCAACAACAGAAAATAGGAGGGGTGAATACATGAGCTATTTGCTGGTGACATGCTGGCAAGGGCCTCTGATGGGCTCACTCATTTGAAGGGTGCTCTGCAGGTCTTCTCAATGCTTCACTGATATCGCTAATTCTGAATAAGAACAAAAAAAAAATATGTAGTTAATTCATTTTATCTTGGAATGCAAGAAAGATTCATCACTATTTATGGCAAAAGAAGGAAAATGATCCTTAATAAATCACTTATTATTTAAACATTCATTAGATACTCTGAGTTTAGTTAGATAATAAACCAAGCCTAGTGATAATATGAAACCAACTAGCTGGTAGATGTTTCTATATTGAACTCCATTTAAAAAAAATTTACTTATAAATTGAGAGAAGATTTACACTTTGCTATCTGACTGATAAATGATTACAACCTAGAAACATATGTAACAGTATAGGTTTCCAAAGCATCCAAAACCATTTACTTAACTAGAAATATGAGACTGATATACACCTCTGTGCATTTCCGCATATTCTCAATCACCTTCATTTCTAATCCTTAACATAGCCTCTCTCTCTCTGACTCAATCAGCTTATACAGAACTTTCATCAAAATCTAACTTTTTTGCTACTTTTTGATTTGTGCTGCTTTTTTATGTTTTCATCAATGGATGAAGACATTGTCTTCATTCTTTGAAATAAGAACCTTGCCTTATGAGGTTATCAATTTCACAAAACCAATATGACAATTAACCTTAGATATGAAGCCAACAATTGTTAGACAGATTCAGGCATAAAGCATTAACACTTCAGGTTCCCTGTTTATTTCCTATATTCCTTACAGCAACATCTGAGCTCATTGCATTTCTAACTACTCTCTATCATAGCAAGATTTATTCCTAAATGGGAATCATGGCCATTATCATTCTTGTTATCAGTATCATTGTTATTAGAAGAAAGAGAAGAATTATTAAAACTATGATGCTATATAAACAATTGTTATTTACTTTACAAGAATGCTTTAGACATATTTAATCACTTTTTACTCACATCAGCCACAGGAGGAAAACAGGACAGGTTTTAACTTCCGTATCAATGTATTTTTTTTTTAAAGTCTGGATCACAGATGCATAATTCAATCCTTAAAATGAAAATGCTTTGTCACAGTCACCCAGCTTTCTGACCTCTTTAGCATTGCCAGGGCACTTCTCAACTGCATTTATTTCTTGGATTTTGTTTAGGCTCAAGCATTTAGTCCTTTATTCAATTTTTGTGGACTATATTTATCACCATGATCAGCACCCAAGGGTCTCTTTCCAGTGTACTCTTTCTTCCTTATTGCTTATTTTACTTTTGCAATTGGTCCAAATTCATATTTCTAAAAAGGAAGGAGATAAGAATGAGTGGGTTCTTCATAATATCCATAAGAAATTGGCCTTTGAAGGATCTGAAATAGTGTTAATGATGGGAAACATGAGTCTTCCTAGGTAACAAGTCAGAATGTTACAGGAAACATGTGAGCTTGAGATATATGAAACTGAATAGATGACTTTAAGAATAGGAGAGGCAAGGGCTTGTGAGATAAAAGAGGAGGATGGAACCCTAACTATGGAACCGTGCCTGTGGGAGGGAGGCCAAGACAGGTATGAGGAACAGACAAAGGGAGTCAGCACCCTGCCCCTGTCAGTCTTCCAGCTGCACCTTAGCTACTCATTCCCAGAAAAGCCTTCACCAAACTCAGTGCATTGGCTTGTAATGTTCTCTCTCCACCACCTTATTCTAGTATGTAGCTCTTCACGGTGACTACCTGTTGAAGGTCTCAGTTCCCTTCTAATTGTAAACTTCATGCAAAATCAAGAGGGAGGGGAAGGAGTGATTTTGTTCACCGTATTTCTCTTATCACAGCATCTAGAATACAGTTGTTCCTCCCCCCCCAAAAAGAGTTGTTAATGAATATTAAATATGCAGATAATTATTAATTTTAGCACTTGATGAAGTCCTCATATAAGATGGACAGAATCACAAAAAAATTATTTGGCAGCTAAGGATGGAGAAAGGAGAAGGAACACTGTAATCCATCCTCATAAGTGAGTCCCTATGGGTATATGAGGTCAGTGACTCTAGCCGAGGCTTTTCTGACAATAGGGCCATTAGTAGAGGGAGGCTACTGGGCAGATATTTAGGAAGATGTTAGTGATCTTGAAACACGTGATCATGATCATGACAATCAATCACAGAGGGAATGTAAAATACGATGGATGGACTCATTCATGCATACCTGATTATCTTTATGTAAATTCTTGTGTGCTGTACTCTATGGCATCAATGAAATGGCAGTTTTAAAAGCTTACTAGCAGTGCCTTTTTGAAAATCTGAGATATTTACCTTTTACAATGTCAACTTGTTTTCAGCATATATCATTATCTCTCCATATTAAAGTGTTAAAACAAATGTTTGTACAAGGGACGAAAGGATAAACCAGGGACTTTTGAAATCTATAATCAGAGAATTAGACTTGGGAGGGGGAATTCAGGAGACTTATCCACAGCACAGAAATAAACTGGGAGAGGAAGGAGGGAGGAAATGCTGTAAAGCAGCCTCATCTATTGAGGAGAACTTCACTTTAGGTGGCAGATCCTTATCCCTACACAAAATGAACAACAAAAGTTCAGGAGCTGTGTTAAAGCCAGAAGCATGTTACATCAAGTATTCTGCAGTGTACCATTCTTTCATCAAATACTCTGCAGAATGTTACAGGCTTTCCTCTCTCTGAGACTAGAATTGTTCCTCTAGACAGTTTTGAGTGCCTCTTCTATTTTGAAGCAACTGTTTACTTCTCATGAATATGCTGTGTTTGGGGAAAATTTAGAGACAACATCCAAGGTATATGCTGCCCCAAAATGTTTTTGTTGTAAGAACTACATGCCAAATCTAAATCAATACAGATAAGATCCCCTCCTCCAACCCAGACAAAATAGATAGGAGGATAGCTAAATAAATACTGTTGAAAGGGTTGGGAATGTAGAGTGAAGCACTTAACTACCATGTGCAAAGCTTTGCATTTGATCCCTAGCACTATAATAACAACAACAGCACATTTTAATGATCTGAGACAGAGAAAGAGGATCCCAGATCAGGAAGTCAGAGAGTAAGTGAATAAGTTTTGCCAGTTGCCATCTCTATGGAAAAAGAAAGTTGAAGTCATAAAAACCCTTTCCCCCCTACAGGTTATATATTTAATGCTAAAATGGCTTCATCATATTGGAGACAAAGAAGAAAGTTTGAATATTCATGTAAACAGGAAGCTATATACACACAGATCAGAATGGAAGAAATTCAGCATATGCTTTGCAGATACTAAAACAACCATTTGGAATTTGGAGGTGTCAAGTTATTGCTTTTCTTTGCCATAGTGACAATGAATTAAAGATAGAAAATGTATTTATTTGGGAAATTTTTGAGAGCATCAATTTTTGGATATGAAACAAATAAATTCTGAAATTACTAGTACCATGATAAAGTTCAATAAAATTAGGCTAAAACGAAGCACTAGCAAAGAGGAGGGGGAGCAATAAAAGGAAAGGGAAAGAGAGACAGAAAAAGAACAAAACACAGAAGAGACAAGATGGAATATTATAGGCTCTATGCCTCCTCAGTCTATGTGATCAAACATGAATGGCAATCAAGCCTGTACCAACTCACCAACCTCAGATACAGGCAAGAAAAAGCCTCCAGCCAACTTAATAACTGCTCCAATGTGCTTCAGCTCCAAACTTAGGTTCAAGGAGAAAAATTCATAATGGGATTGAAAATCCTTTCCCTGACCAGGAATAGATGCTCCTTTGGGGTTCCGTGGGACTAGAGCAGGAATAGATGCTCCTCTGGGGTTTCACCGGACAAGAGCAGGAATAGATACTCCTCTAGGATTCCATGGGACAGCAACATGAAAGACAAACAATTCATAAATTCTCACCACTGGTTTATTGAGCATGAAGGGCACATGTGTATAGGAATCCCTTGAGACTTTCATGTTTTTCTTCTTAGGTCCCCAACTTGTAAAAATTTCTTCTTTTCTAACTTCTGTTTTCTAATTATTCTGTACCATTAGTCCCACATAGAGAATATATACTGTGTCTAAGCCATATAAGTGTAGAATCATGGTAGATAGGCTAAACAGTTTAAACAACTGTCATCTGATATCAGGCCTGGCACTGTTACCTTGACAGTGATGACATCCACTTAAAAATTTCAAAAAATATCAATATCAGTTACTTCGTGTCTATGATAATGGAGTGAAATAAAAACTATATACTCTTCCATAACTATGTCTGAATATACACAAATGCAATAATGCTGTAAAAAAAAAGGAATACTCCTAACACATACAAGTAATTATAGTCATCAAATAAAGCTTTGGCCCTACTCCTTTCCCCCAATTCCTGTATAAAAAATATTAATATATCTAATAATAGATTTAGCTTCTTTTCTTGAAACCATCTATTTCTGAAAGCCACCCCAAAACAAGCTAAAATTCAATATCTAGCTCTTCCTCACACACTCTTACTGAGGACACCACCATTTCATCACAGTGTGTGAAGTCTCCCTTGTCCCAGCAAATAATATTACCCCTCCTTTTTAATTTTTTTTTCATTATCAGTTCCTGGTGGTTGTTGACAGGACTGGTATTGCTCTGTATGGGAATATAATTTGCTCCGCGTTATCACTGACACTTGGTACTCTGTCTCATTGTGTTTTTAGTTTGCATTTCCCTGAACTTTAGAGGTGGCTAAACATGGTTTCAAGTGTTTATTTGCCTTACGGATCATTAACATATCATTTGTTCTAGTGAAATGCCTATTGAAATATTTTGCTTGTTTTCATTGGATTATTTGTTTTCATATTGAGTTATAAGAATTCTCTTTTTTATTTTATTTTAGTATTAATTGACAAAGAATAATTGAAAGTATGTTCTGGAAAAATGTCTTCAGTCATTTATGTACTTCGCAACTATTTTCTCCCAGGATGTGACTTGTCTTCTCCTTTCCTAAACAGTGTCTTTTAAAT